GAATCACTTGAACCTGGGAGGCGGAGGTTGTAGTGAGCCAAGATCGCGCCATTGCACTCCAGCCTGGCAACAGAGGGAGACTCGGTCTCAAAAAAAAACCAACCAGGTGTAGTGGCTCACGCCTGTAATCCCAGTTCTTGAAGAGGCATGGTGATGCAGGATGATCGCTTGAGTCCAGGGGTTCAAGACCAGCCTGGATAACATAGTTACCAAAAAAATGTTTAAATCAGCCAGGTGTGGTGGCTTGCACCTGTAGTCCCAGTTACTTAGGAGGCTGCAGTGGGAGGATTACTTGAGTCTAGAAGGTCGAGGCTATAGTGAGCCATGATTGTGCCACTACACCCCAGCCTGGGTGACTCAGGAAAGACCCTGCCTGCTTTGCCAGTGCTCAGGCCGGTCACACAGCTTCTGTGTGTGAGCTTGGTACTCTGTAGCTGCTCTGATCTCTTGTGCTCACCCCTTGATTGAAACCTGGGCCCTGCCTGGTGTTGATGGGATGCTGGCATGGTGCCCAAGGCCAGAGAGCCAGCCCAAGGCAGCACCAGGTTCCTTCCACTCTAGAACAACTGTAGGGTGCTGTGTGGCCTTGAGCAAGACCCCGACCTCTGTGGTGTGAGGTAAAGCCAGTTCTGGGATGGGGCAGCAGAGTCCCTGACTGCAGCCCCTATCCCAGCAGGCTTTAAGACCCTTCTAGGCCCTGCCCCAGCTAATGTCAGTCTGGTCAGGAAGCCCAAGGTTCTAGTCCTGCCCTTGCCCAAAACCCTCTGAGCCAGGCTCCTCTCAGTCTGGCTCCTGTAATTTGAGAAGGGGCAGATTTGAAAATGCTCAGGGAAGCAAATGAGAAGAAAGATACTTTAAAGCCTTCAGCATGGCTGGGCGCGGTGGCTCACGCCTGTAATCCCAGCACTTTGGGAGGCTGAGGCAGGCGCATCACAAGGTCAGGAGTTGGAGACCACCCTGGCCAACATGGTGAAACACCGTCTCTACTAAAAATACAAAAATTAGCCGGGCATAGTGGTGGGCACCTGTAGTCCCAGCTATGCAGAGGCTGAGGCAAAGAGAATCGCTTGAACCGGGGAGGCGGGTTGCAGTGAACCGAGATCAGGCCACTGTACTGCAGCCTGGGCGACAGAGCAAGATTCCGTCTCAATAAATAAATAAAGCCCTCGGCATGTCCTGGCTTTTGAGGGTCCCACTGGTGTTGGGGCTCTGCCTGAAGCCACTCTTGGCCTCCTTGTCCCTGCAGCCTACACCTACTTCTATAAGGGCACCAAATACTGGAAATTCCACAATGACCGCCTGCGGATGGAGCCTGGTTACCCCAAGTCCATCCTGCGGGACTTCATGGGCTGCCAGGAGCACGTGGAGCCAGGCCCCCGATGGCCTGACGTGGCCCGGCCGCCCTTCAACCCCCATGGGGACGCAGAGCCCGGGGTGGACAGCGCAGAGGGCGACGTGGGCGATGGGGAGGGGGACTTCGGGACCGGGGCTGGCAAGGATGGAGGCAGCCGCGTGGTGGTGCAGATGGAGGAGGTGGCACGGACCTTGAACGTGGTAATGGTGCTGGTGCCGCTCCTGCTGCTCCTCTGCGTCCTGGGCCTCACCTACGCGCTGGTGCAGATGCAGCGCAAGGGCGCACCGCGGGTGCTGCTCTACTGCAAGCGCTCGCTGCAGGAGTGGGTCTGAGCGTCCAGGGCTCCTGCTCACGGTGCTCAGGGGGCCCACGGGGGCCCACCGCGGCGCCTGTGGTTCTGAGATGACTCCTGGGGGCTCCCTCCGCCCCCAGGCTGGGGCCCCTTCCAACCCTCACACACCCTGTCTGCCCTGCCCTCATTATTTATGCCCAAGTGTTTTGTTTTGTTTTTGGCACCTTACTTAACCATTTGTTCCTGTTTCCCTGACCAGAGCAGGGTGTTTAGAGTTTTCTGAATGTAGTTCCGCTCCAGTCAGGGAATTAGAACCCCCTCATCGTCCTCTGACTCGGCAGAGGCCCACATTGAAAGAGCAGCCCCTCAGCCTGAGCCCAGGGCCATAACCGCAGGCTCCCTTTGCCCAGTTGGAGATAGGCTGGCCCCCCCTGGGTCTCCTCCCTCCCAAGTGAGCCTGGGCCTTAGGAAGAGCTTTCCACCCAGGGACAGCCCCAGGCCAAAGGGGACATGGAAGGGAGATGGGCCGTGGCCCCCAAGCCTGAGTTGAGGCTTGGTTCATTCCCAACCCACTTCTCACAGCCTCAGCGAGCCTGGCTCCTTAGGCCTGAGAACCCAGCCCACCCCCGGCAGCAGCTCCCAGCTCCCACCTCCCCTGGGACCCACCCCTCTTCCCTCTCCATGGACCAAAAGGAGTCTGCCAAGGCCCCTCCCTGGGTAGCAGCAGCCTCACCCATAGCAGAGACACCTCACTGAGCTAGAACCCCCATTCCTTCCCTGCGCCTCCTCCCTCCCTCTCCCATTCACGCCACCAACCTAGAGGCCTGAGCTCAGCTGCCAGTGTCCTGAGCCCCCAGGAGAGGGGTCTGATGGGTGCCTAGGCCTGGGCAGTGGATGTCCACGGATGGGTGCCCACCTGTATGGGTGCCCACAGTGCCAGGCACCGGGTATGAGGGGCTCCTCCCCTCCAGCTCCCTGTCCCCCCAGCATACTGAGAGGAGAGACACTGTTGGGGATAGGCCAGCAGCGCATCAGACTGTGAACCCCCCAAAGGAGCCCCCACCATGGCCTAAGAGGCTGCCCTGCTCCTGCGCTTGGCCCTGAGGGCGGAGATGCCTCCTTCCTCTTTTCCTTCCCAAAGCAAGCAGGGGGCCATGGCTGCTGTGGGAAATGGTACTGTACAGCTGGCTCTGCTTCCCCATGTCCCTGAGTGAGTGGGGTCTGCCACCCAGGATCCCCGAGGCGCCTTGGGGGTAAGGGGTTCTGGCCTCTGGGAGTGGTTTCTCGTGCGCTGGCACCAAGTACGGGTCCAGCAGCTTCCACCCCCTGCAGAACCAGAGAGCCAGCCAAGGGGTGGGGCTGTGGGGGTTCCGTGTCCACCTCCATACCATTATTTCTGTAAATAATGTGCACTGAATAAATTGTACAGCCGGCAAGTGTGTCCTTGTTTGTAAGGCCTTGGGCTGGAGCCTCCAGCTGGAAGAGCATGCAGGGGGTGGGGGTCCAGCCCATGCGAGGTTAGGGAGCTTGACCTCAACACCAAGGAGAACTTGTTCCAATTCTGTGGAGGCTCCTTCACGATGACCCTTGGAAACTAGGCCTTGGGAGGGGCAGAGCTTAGGGCTGCCCTCGAGAGTCCAGAAAAGGGAGAGGCAGGGCACCTGGGGTCACCCTGGCAGGGCGGAGCAGTGAAGGAGTATGGAGTTAGTTTGCCATTTGTTCTTGCTGAGAAAAGAACCCAGCTTGCCACATGCCCTCCCTGTCTAGCAGGGAGGAGGAGGCAGGCCAGGCCTCCCAGGCTGGGCTCAGGTGGGCCTGAAGGCCCACCCTGATGGGAGCCCGGAGCAGGGCACAGAGAGAGATGGGAAATGGTGCCATTTTGATCCAAAAGTTCCCTTCCCCACACATGCTGCTCAGAGTGGGGGCACCCAAGCCCTGCCCTCTCATCTTTGAGAAGCAGAAAATCCCATCCAGGCCTGTGCAGGGTGCAAGTAATACCCCAGGAGGGCAGGAGACTGAGGCGTCACCGTGCCTTGAGTCAGCATGGCTGCGGAGCCAGAGGTCCTCCTTAGCCCATATGTCCAAGCTCTTGGCCAAGCCTCTTAGATACTGGCCTGGGCCCCAAGAATGTGATTCGCCACAGTAGGGGTCGCACCCCCACCATGGAGCAGGCCAGGCCTCTCAAGTCCTCAGGCAGGGTCCTTCCGCCCATTCCAGGCCCAGCTCCCACCCCCACAACTGGTCTCATCCCGTCCTGCCCCTTCCTCTCTTTGTGTTGAATCCGGCTAAGGAGAGTAGGAAGTGCTGGCCCTTGGAAACCTCGAAGGCCTCTTGGGCTCATCTAGGAAACAGCCACTTATGGGGCAACAGGGGAATTCCAAGCAGCCGCCATCTTGACAGCTTTCCTGTGGTAGAAGCCACAGGGTCCCTCCCGGGTCTGCCCCCTACCTGAGTTCCTAGGGTCACCCAAAAGCCCAGAGGTCACCGGCAGGTGGAGGGCAGTGTGGAGTAGGAGCCCAGGGATGAGAGGAGAGGATGAAAGGCCTTGAGTCAAGCCCTTCCGCAGAGCCAAGGCCAGGGGAGAGAGTTGGCAGAGGCTTCAGCTCCTCAGGAAACTGCCTAATAAGACTTCCTCCCCCAACCTCGCTGCTAAAATATCAAGAGCCCCAGTGGCTGAAGGCACGGCCCATCCAAGAGCCCTGTCTATCCTTGGGGTCGGCTTTCATGAGGAGGGGTGGGCAGGGCAGCTAGGCCCTGTCTCCCCCATGTTCAGAGAGCCCAGAGCCCAGGCCTGCCTGGGGTCTAACCCCAGGATTAAACAGGGGCGTGCACGTTTTAAATCGTTTTTTGGTTTTTGTTTTTTAATGTGACTGTAACCTAAACTCACCTGGGGCCCCTCACAATCCCCATTCCCTCAGCACCCTTTTTTTCCTTTACATTTTTACTAATTCCCAGCTGCGAAAACTGAGACATTAGAGATAAGCAAAAAGAAGAAAAGTCTCAGTTGCCATAATCCCCCAGCCTGTGTTGACAATTTGACATGTTTCCTTATAACCTTTTTTTTCCCTGAGTTTGCACAGCTAGAGTCGAAAACATCTTGGCAGGGCATGGTGGCTCACACCTGTAATCCCAGCACTTTGGGAGACCAAGGTGGTAGATCATGAGGTCAGGAATTCAAGACCAGCCTGGCCAAGATGGTGAAACCCCGTCTCTACTAAAAGTACAAAAAATTAGTTAGGCGGTAGTTGCCTATAATCCTAGCTACTCTGGAGGCTGAAGCAGAGAATTGCTTGAACCCGGGAGGTGGAGGTGGCAGTAAGCTGAGATCATACCACTGCACTCCAGCCTGGGCAACAGCTCGACAGAGCGAGACTCCAGCTCAAAAAAAAAAAAAAAATCTGGGGCCTGAGCCCTGATGCTGTAGCCCATGGGAGGTGGGCAGAGGTTGCCAGGTGGTTGCAAGGTGTTGGCAACAGGGCCTGGCACCAGGCACGTGCTGTGTGATTGTGACCCCAAGACTCATAAGCTCCCCATCTACATTTTACTCAGGAGAACAGAGACTCAGAGGTGAAGTGACTTGGCCAAAGTCACACAGCTCGGAAATGGCCATGTCAGGATTAGGACCCAGCTGAACCAGCTTGCGAAGCAGCTCAGCTCTACCCCACTCTGATGCTGCGGGAGCATCGGGACAGGGGCGAGGTGGCCCCTGCCCACCAGCCTTCCCTCCCCCACATTCTATGCATCGAAGCCCCAGGGGCACCAACAGAGCCTTCTTTCAGGCCTGGGCAGGGGCTGAATTGGCTGCTTCCTCCCACTTCAACTTGGCAGAAAAGCCTTTTTGTTGTGGCTCACACAGAGGCCATTCTCCTCCAGCTCACGGGAAGGAATGCCGGCTTCCTGCGCATCCACAGCGGCCAGGCCACAGTGGGGTCCTGCACATAGGTCCCAGAGGAGCCCCTGCACACCCTCCAGCCCTGCCTCTGGGGACTTCGGCTCCCAGACTTTCCTCCTTACCCTCAACAATTTGAGAAGCCACACAGGGAGGTAGGGGACAGCCCCCTCAGCTACCTCGGTAAATGTTGGGGATTTTAAGGCTTACAGCACTTAAGACGCAGCAGTTCCACCATCAGCTCACTTCTCAAGTGGACTCATGACCCACAAAGCGCTGGCAGAGGTCCCTGCCAGGCTTCTTACCCGTCTCAAATGTCCCCTGCACTTGTCTGCCTCTGTGCCTTTCCTTATACTGTTCCTTCCCCTGAAAAACCCTTCCCTGCAGATCTCATCCTGTGCAAATGGCACAGACCCTTCAAGACTCGGTGTGTGGCTTCCCCATCCCAGATTCCCGCCCGACTTCCTCAAGGTGGGTGTTTCCTTCCCATCTGGCTCCCCAGCACATGGGTCTTGGCTGCTCCTCAGCTCTGAGTCCAGCCTGCCCCTCGTTCCAGGCACCCGGACACTGACCGTGGCGCCATCACTCACAGGGTGGGGGTGCATCCTTGGGCAAATCCCTTTGCCTCTCTGAGCCGATTCCCCACCGGTACAATGGGCACTCAGCCATGCTTGTCCCATCATGTGGCTTGGTGGAGCTGATGCTTAGAAACCCATAGAACAGCTCCTGGCCCGTGAAAGGCTCTCGGTGGTTCGTTACCAATATCCCTACTCTAACTGCAGGTACCTGGGGGGCACTGGGGCAGTGTCCGTTTCCTGCCTGTGGGATGGGGTCACAGGTCGGCCAGCCTGAGGACAGGTGCCTGGGAGGAGGGACATTCCTGTCCCACCCTCTTTCCTCCCAGCTGCTGAGGCCTCACCCCTCTGGGCCCTGGGGATGAGGTTGCCCTGCCCCAGCTCCTCCCTCACTCAGGCACTAGCCCTTCTTCCCAGACGCTGGGCTCCCAGCCCCAGGCTCAGGTTTCCTCTCCAAGCGCCTCTGACACCTCCCGCCCCCACATCTTTCACGCAGTCCAGTGTTTGCCAGAAATAGCCTCGTAACTCCCCTCCACTGACAGCCAAGCTCACAGGCCTCTCCTGGACAAACAATATTATTCCCCTCTTGACACGGCTCACAGCATGATTTCTTAATGGGATCAACTGGATTCCATTTAAAACGGTTCTGAAACTAAGCAAGGTGGTGCTCACCTGTAGTCCCAGCTACTCAGGAGGCTGAGGCAGGAGGTCGAGGCTGCAGTGAGCTATGACAGTGCCATTGCACTCCAGCTTAAGTGACAGAGCAAGACCTTGAGTCTTAGAGAAAGAGAAGAGAAGGCTGGAAGGGAAGGAAGGCAGGATGGAGGGAAAGAGGGAGGAAGGGAAGGTACAGAGGGAGGAAGGAAGGAAGGAAGAGGAATGAATTAAGGAAGGGAGTTAAACTGATGCCAGGCACGGTGGCTCATGCCTGTAATCCCAGCACTTTGGGAGGCCAAGGCGGGTAGATCACTTGAGATCAGGAGTTCAAGACCAGCCTGGCCAAGATGGTAAAACCCAGTCTCTACTAAAAATTAACCTGGCGTGATGGTGGGCACCTGTAATCCCAGCTACTCAGAAGGCTGAGGCAGGAGAATCGCTTTAACCTGGGAGGCAGAGGTTGCAGTGAGCTAGGATTGCACCACTACACTCCAGCCTGGGCAACACAGCAAGACTGTCTTTAAAAAAAAATCAAACTGATTAAAAAAAAGTCAAACTGTAAAATATTTGAAGAGATTTATTCTGAGCCAAATATGAGTGAGCAATGGCCTGTGACACAACTGTCAGGAGATCCTGAGAACATGTGCCCAGGGTGGTCAGGGCACAGCTTAGTTTTATACATTTCAGGGAGACATGAGACGTCAATCAAATACAGTTAAGATATAAGTTAGTTTGGTCCAGAAAGGCAGGACAACTCAAAGTGGGGGCTTCCAAGTTACACGCAGATTTTCAATTTTACTGATTGGCAATTTGTTGAAAGAGTTATTATCCATAGAAAGGAATGTCTGGGTTGCAATAAAGGGTTGTAGAGACCAAGGTTTCATCATGCAGATGACGCCTCCAGGCAGCAGGCTTTCTGAGAACAGACTGTAAAAGTTTTTTATCAGATGTGAGATCTGTGTTGTTACTAAATGCTGGTTGGTTTTTTCCTAAATTCCAAAAGGGAGGAGAGTTTAAGGAGGAAGGAACTTAAACTCACCCCCACCCTCCTTTTCCGTCATGGCCTCTAGCAATGTTAACTTTGGAGTGCCTTTGGCCAAAAGTTAACTTTTCAGGTTAACTTTGGAGTGCCTTTGGCCAAAAGGAGGGAGTCCATTCAGATGACTGGAGGGAAGGGGCTTAGAATTTTATTTTTGGTGGAAGAAAGGCAGAAAGGAAAGAGGAAGAAAGGGAGGGAAGGAAGGAAGGAGGGAGGGAGGGAAGGAAGGAAGGAGGGAGGGAGGGAGGGAGGAAGGGAGCTAAGAAGGAAGGAAGG